CCCAAAAAATCGCCAACACTGCAAAATTTACCTTAGGTCGAGATAGTGGCTAAAAGACCCAACAAAATCGCCAATACTGTAGCCTAACTATTCAATCCAACTAATCCGACAAATTGGTCAATGCAAAAAACAGAATGAATACATAGAAATCAAATTTTATAAACCGAATTACCGATAGGCAATCACTGCAGTGGCGTCAGGCGTGGCACGATGGCGGTCGGACGGACCGTGGACGGCTGCGAGAGAAGCAAGAAGACGACCGTCGAGGCCCAGGAAGGGTGGGTTTCGGAATTCAGCGTTTCGCCCGTTTCACCCTTTCTGGTGCGTGGAGCTGAGGAATGCGAATGAAGTATTTAAGAAAAAAAAAAATTTTGGCCCTTTAATTTTTGGGCCCGAGGCGTGGGCCTCACTTGCCTCGGCCCAGAACCGGCTCTGGGTGTATGTGACCAACCTTTTTGTGGTAGTGGCTGTGATGGTGGTGTGTGGTGTTGTTTTGGCGATGGTGATTGGTAGTATGTGTGTGGTGTTGCTAGTGCGCTGTGGTGATGGTGGTGTTGCAAAAAAGGTGGCGAGGGGAGCGATGGTGACTGGTGGTAGCGATGGAGTGGTGGTTGTGATATTTTTCTTGGCAGTGTATTGGATCTAGTGGGTGTGGCGTTGTTGGTGGTGGTGTTATGCGGCGGTGGCGATGGCAGTGGTGGGATACTGTTTGTGACCAACTATTTGGTTGGTCTGTGACCAAGTATTGGTGGTGGATTGAGATCTGGGGTGGGTTTTTTATTGTATGTGACTATTTAGTTTATTGTAACTAACTATTAAAATGTGACTTTAAAATTCGATCATTTGTGATTAAAAAATAATATGTGACCAACAAATTAGAGAATGTGTGACCAATAAATAAAACGCGATCTATAATATTTTTGATATGTGACCAATGAAATAAATTGTGTTATATAAATTTTTTGATTTGTGATCTCGAAATAATCTGTGACAATTAATTTGATAATATGTGACCCAAAAAAAAGTTGGGACTCAGAGCATGCATCAGTGACCATGAATTATATAATTGTGATTTTAATATATTTAATTAATTGACAAATACCTTATTTTTGCATTTTTAAACTTAAGGCCTGAATTTTGAATTTGGGAAACTTGAGACCTAATTTGTGGACTTTTCCCTTTTGATGGATTGCAC